CGAAGGCCTCGTGGGAGAAGTGGGCCCCCTTTCCACCGTGCTGCAGAGCACCTTCTAGTAGAAAGTTCGCGTCGCCAGGAGCTGGGGCGACGTTCGGGGGCCGCTGGGCGCCACCGTCATGTTTCTCCAGCGCGGGGGTTCTCACGCTCGGTTTCTTCTCGCACTGGCCCACAGACGCGGGCGAGCAGCTCTGGCAACGAGCTCGCCTTGGGCGATCAAGCAGATGGTCGCGGGGGGCGCGGGGCGGCGGCAGTTGGCGGAGCTGGCCAGCCAGCGCCGCGACATCTACGCGGCAGGAAGGGCATTCTTGCCTCGGGTCCGCAGGTGGGCATCAGCGGGCCGGGGATCCACTGAGGTCGCCAAGGGCTGGGGGTTTCTCATTCACTTGGAAGTAGATCACGCCAGATCATGCTTGGTCGACGGGCAGTGGCTGAATGAGTGACGGTTCGCAGCTGGCCTCAGCTCGTACTCGATTTGCTCCTCGTGCCCCTGTAAGATCGGCATGCTGCGGCACAGGCACCTCGAGTGCCAAGGCGATTGGCCCGAGCTCGCGCTCCCTTCGGAGCTGGAGCGTTTCGCGGACAAGGGCGACCCCATCACCGTCAGGACGACGTTCGAGAGGCTCTGGCTGCCACAGCCGCTCACCGATTGGAGGCCTCCAGCGGACCATTTTTTGTCGCGCGCGCAGTGGATCAAGGGCTGCAGCGAGGGCGCGCCGTTCGCAGAGCCCGACTTGTACGCCAGCGGGGTCTTCATCGACGGTGGCGCGCGGGTTGCTTGCGCTGGCGGTGCGGCGGTGGCTGCCCTGTCCCAGAGAAGGCGAGGGGGTCGACCCTGGACCTCGCTCGGCCACCCGTGCGCTTGCCTCGCCCTCGACAGGCATCTTGCAGCCCATCGATTGCGGGGAGCCGCTGGCGCCCCTCCTCCTTCTCAAGAAAGCGCCCCACCCGTGGTCGCTAATTCTGACGCAGATTACGTGGTGAAGGGCATCATCTGCCGTTGCCCTGTCGAGACCACCAGCCGCAAGTCAGCCTGGGCCGAGCTCTGGGCTCGCACCTGGCACACCGTGCAAGACTTTGGCGGGCTCGGTGACCAGGGCCTCGCGGTTGTCAAGGTCAAAGCGCACGCAACGGCTCACCGCGCTCAAGCTGAGCCAGTAACGCCCGAGCGATGCGCGGCAACGTCGAAGCTGATCGGTGCGCCAAGCGCATGGCCGCGCAAGTCGGCGCCCCCGAAGGTGACGGGCAGCTCTTCCAGACTCGGCAACGGGCAAGAGTGACCCATAGGGGGTCGGAGGATTTTTTCCCGCGGGTTGAGCTTGACCTCGCGTCGGCACCCGCATCGCGCGATTGCGCTCGCATCTGAGCGCGCCAGGTCTGGGCCCGCCCCTTGCAATCAGCAGCAACGCGCGCGCGTCGCACCCTACAGTTTGAATCGGTTACCCGAGGGGGGCCAGTCGACCAGGCGGCGCGTTTTCCGGCCCAGGACCACTCCCGAAGCCCAGCCCAAACCCCAAAACGCTTGGCGTGAATATCTTTGTAGCGTAGATACTGTTAATATCTTTGAATATGTTCGAATCTGTTTTTCTCGAACCAATCGGTATATTTACTATCATAAGTTACCCAAAGATCTTGAAACCTATTCCAGGCTCTCGGACGGGGCTGGCGTTGGCCACGACGCCAGGCCTGGTCAGACGTCATCGCGGTGCAACCCGGCAGTGCCAGACCTCATCGCGGTGGCCCCTGCCAGCGTCTGCTCTCGCGGCGCTTTCGAAGTGCCGCTCGGGGCGCTCGGATTCAATCGGCGGAATTCCGCGGTTGTCCACTGGCGCAGAACATTTTTCGAGCGGCGCCCCGCCGATGGTGGATGTGGCGCGGCAGTGCCGACTTGCGCGATTGCGTTGTGGGCTCGCGGGCGCCCCTGAAGCCGCGCGCCAAAGGTCACTCTAGCCTCGGGTCGCTCCTACGCGTAGTCGACAGACGCGCCAGATGACGTTGGACGCCGCGTTCTACTGGGTCTCGACTACGAGAGCGCAAGCAGCTGACAGCAGGGTGAACATGTCCGACGAGAAGATGCCGCCGTGCGAGGCCAAAACAATGCTCAGCTCCTCTTGACCCGCCATGAGGTCATAGAGGCCCCCCAACGGCGGCACCACTGTTTGCGGCGATTCAAGTCGGCACGCAGCAAGGACATCACTTCTGGGCCAAGCCGTGCGTGCCGAAGCGCCGAGGCCGCACGCTCCGTCGCATTCTGGCGGTTCCTCGCATAAGCGACCTGCACGTGCAGCGCTGGCGACGGCGGCTACGGCCGCGGCGGCCTTCGCGGCTCTGGCGGCAGCGGATGGCCAGGCCTCGCAGGAGGGCGACGACGGCTACTCCGAGGCGCCGAAGGCCAAGGGCGCGAGGACGGCCCAGCAGAAGGTCGACTCTCTGTTGCCGGCGGCGGCTGGAGACAGCTCGAGCGGCATTGTGCGCCCGGCGGCTGCTGATAAAGATGCTTGATCTGTGAGTGGCGCATCGGTGGAGCCCGCTGCGATAGCCCCTGCAGGTCACGCTGCGAAAGCTCCTTCAGAAACCCATTACCTGGCAGGTGGTTGCGATGCTGGCCTTGCGGTCCCTTCGGCCTCACTGCTCGGTCCTTCCCTCGCCCCCCTGCGCCCCGTGGGCCCCGCTGCGAAAGCCCCGGGGGGGCGCCCCCTTGCGAGGCCGAGTCTCAGCAGAGCGATTGTGATTTGTCTCTTGCAGAGGCCCCTCAGGCGTCTTGCACTCTGGTTGCCCCGCGGATTATTGTAGATTTGGTTCGCCGCTCGAGGGCGCCCGATCCGTCTCGATCGTTGCCCCTCGAGAGCCCCCTTGTCCCCGCTGCCTCCGCGTCGTCCGCAGGCTACGGCGCCGGAGCCCGAGGGGTGGCCAGCGGCGAGCGCCAGGTCGTCACAGTGAACGGGTACCGCACCTGTTCCACACGTCATTGCTACGCACGCGTGATCGTGGGAAAACGCAGAGACTTGTCCGCCGAACGCAAGCTGCCAGACAGTGCTCGAGGCGTGCAGCGCTGCCTCGAGACGGCCAGAGGGTCCGACTCGGGCCGCCGCCGAAGGTGGCGCAGCCGAATGCGCAGCAGGGACATTGAACAGGGGGTCTGGCTGGGCGGCGGTGGCTTGGCCCTTTTGGCTCGCTCACTCTGTTGCAGCTTGTCGCCCCTTTTTCAGGCTTCCCCGCGTCGCCTGCGCCCTCAGCAACCGCCTGTGCGGTTGCTAGTGCCTGAGCTCGCGCCGCGCGGGCCAGGCACACAGCTGGAAAACAAAGACCCAAAGGCTGCGCTCGCGTGACACCACCGCACCCATTGCTTGCAGCACGCCCCTTACGCGCGTTTCGTGGCCCCACGAGGAGCTCCACCGAAGGCCCAAGTGGTGCGCGACACCCCCGCGCCCACGTCGGCACACCCCTCGCACGTTTCGTGGCCCCGTAGGGAGCACCACCGCGCGCATGTGGGCACACGCCTCACACGCTTCGTGGCCCCACGGGGAGCCACACCGAAGGCCCCAATCGCCCGGGTCGCATTTTTTCCTTCTTCCTCCTTGACCTCCGCATGTCCATTTCGGCACACCAATCACACGGTTCGTGGCCACATGGGGAGCCCCATGGAAGGCCCAAGTGATTGCTTTCGCACGCCACCACCGCACCCATGTCGGCATACCTTCGCATGCTTCGTGGCCCCAGAGGGAGCTCCACCGAAGGCCCAAGTGGCTGCGTTCGCGCGGCACCACCGCACCCACTTGGGCACACCCCTCACACGGTCCGTGGCCCCATGGGGAACCCCACCGAAGGTCCAAGTGACCGCGCTCGCATGGCACCGCTGCGCCCATGTCGGCACACCCCTCACACGTTTCGTGGCCCCACAAGGAGTTTCACCGAAGGCCCCGGTGGTTGCGCTCGCATGACACCACCGCACCCGTTCCAGCACACCCCTCACACGTTTCGTGGCCCCTCTAGGGACTTCCACCGACGGCCCCAGTGGCTGCGCTCGCATGACACCACCGCGCCCACGTCGGCACACCCCTCACGCCCATGGGGAACCCCACCGAAGGCCACAGCGGCTGCGCTCGCATGACACCACCGCGCCCATTTCGGCACACCCCTCACGTTTCGGGGCCTCATATGGAGGTCCACCGAAGGCCCCAGTGGCTGTGTTCGCATGACACCACCGCACCCATTTCGGCACGCCCCTCACACGTTTTGTGGTCCACAAGGAGCTCAACCGAAGGCCCCAGTCGCTGCGCTCGCATGACACCGCCGCGCCCATGTCAGCATTCCCCTCACACGCTTCGTGGCCCCATGGGGAGTTCCACCGAAGGCCCCAGTGGCTGCGCTCGCATGACACCACCGCGCCCATGTTAGCACATCCTTCACACCATTCGTGCCCAATAAGGAGCTCCACCGAAGACGATACCAACGACAATACCAACAACTGCAATGGTTGGGTTTTTCTCCAGGAAAATGCCGTTCGGGCAGGTTTACTTGCATGGACGGGGGGGGCTGAGCCTGAAACAAGCCGAAAATAACTTGACGTACGGAAACCACGCACGTCGAAAAGGCACTTGCACGCTCGTGTTCGATAGAAGAGGGGCAAGGGGGGAGAGGGGGGGGAGCGCACGCTGTGCAAGTATACCCGCCTGGATCTGAAGAGAAACGGGTTCAGAGCGCCTCAGGAGCCCCGAGGCCTCAGGAGCCAGGGTGGGGGGGGAGGGCGAACGCTGTGCAAGTAAACTCGCCTGGATCTGAAGAGAAATGGGCTCAGAGCGCCCCGGGAGCCCGGAGGCCTCTGGAGTCGTTCTGAGGAGGCCCGCCCCCTCCGCCCTCCGCCCCTTGGCGCGCCGCCGATCTGCTTCCAGGTGTGTTCCCCCTCACCAGACCTCCTCCTGCTCCTCCTCCTCCTCCTCCTCCTCATCTGCTTCCAGGCTCCTCCTCCTCCTCCTCCTCCTCCTCCTCCTCCTCCTCCAGGCGTGCCCCCACCAGAACGTGAGGGTGAACCTGCGCGCCCCGGGGGTCGACTTCGGCTTCCCCTTCCTGTTCCCGGTGCCGGGCACGTCCTCCGCGGCGGAGCGCGGCGGGCCGAAGCGCCGTGCGGCACAGGGGGATGATGATGATGATGATGATGATGATGATGATGATGATGATGATGATGATGAGGAGGAGGAGGAGGAGGAGGAGGAGAGGAGGAGGAGGAGGAGGAGGAGGAGGAGGAGGAGGAGGAGGAGGAGGAGGAGGAGGAGGAGGAGGAGGAGGTAGGAGGGGAGGAGAGAGGAGGAGAGAGGAGGAGGAGGAGGAGGAGGAGGAGGAGCAGGAGGAGGGAGGAGGAGGAGGCGTGAGGGGGAGGGGGAGGGGGATGGGGGAAGGGGGAGGGGGAGCGGAGGAGGACGAGGAGGAGGACGAGGAGGAGGAGGAGGACGAGGAGGAGGAGGCGGAGGAGGAGGAGGAGCAGGAGGAAGAGGAGGAGCAGGAGGATCAGGAGGAGGAGGAGGAGGACCAGAGCTTCAAACTCTGAAATACGGGCGGGGCAATATTTCTTACACCATGCGTTTTCGCGGGGTTTCGGGCCCCTGGGACCCGCACAGATCACGGCTCGAGAAATGCCGCAGATAGATTGGGTCTATGGTTCCGGTCGTGATGTTTTGCAATGTTGCATTTTTGTCCCGCAATGAAAGTCGGATCCCTCGGATCGCAGGGATGATGTGGCCTTCAGGAAGAGTGGCCTTGGGCAGTAAAGGTTCAGCTTGGGAGCCTCTTCCCATCCTCGGGGCCCCAATCATCAGGGCCCCATGTCTCTACGCCTCCCAGCTGGGGTCCGAGAAGGTGGGGTCGGAGGATGCGCCGCATCGCTGATGCATCGGTGATGCGGCTCGATGCGGAGCCCGATGCATGGCGATGCGGCTTGATCGCCGATACATCGCCGACGCCGCCAGTGCATCGCCACTGCAACGGCGGTGCGTCGCGGATGCGGCTCGATCCTCCGATCCCGTCTAGGAGGCCTCTAATGGTTGGCCGAGACGAGTTGGGCCACATTGTGGGCGCGAGGAAATAGCCGCTCTGCGCGAGCGCCCTCGTTTCACATGCAGCGTGTCACACTGGCGACCCGCGTAAACCACCGCGTAAAGGTCGATATGCCGTCTCGCGTACGACTCGTTTCTTTTCGTCGCTCATGTATGGGCCGCCGAGATGAGCTGGGCCAGCCCCGGGGGATTCGGGGCCACCATACGGTTTGGGGGTTTGAGTCTTTCTTGTCCGAGGATGTCTCGAACGATTGGGGCCGCCGAGGTCCCAAAAACGCGCGGTGACGGACAGCGTGGCGAGGTCGTTGGAGATTCCGAGATCACCATGCCGTCCATCACCACAAATTCTTGAGCCGCCGAGGCACAGACGCGTGACATCCTGTTTTTTTCAACGCGTGGTCCCCGAACCCCTTCCCCGGGACTGGGCTTCCTCCCCGAGTCGTTTCTCTTGACGGTCCCCGGGGGCCTGGTCAGTGCCCCGAGGGCCCGGAGGCGAAGAACAGCCTCCCGTCCCTTGGTATCGCTCGGACGTGTGTGTTTTTTTTCTTTCGGCGAGGACCATCGAGGAGCATCCTTGATCATTTGGGGCAAAAGCCACGCACGAAACCGAAAAAAAACACAGGGAATGGACGTCCGAGCGATGGCGAGGTCCCGACGTTTGTTCACGACGCGGGCGTGTTCGGAGGCGGGCTGGGCCACCCCCGGGGGGGCGCGAGGGCAGCGCCGCGCGTCGCGCAGCGCGGTCGGGGCCAGAGCGGCTGCCCGTCCCCAGGAGGGGGGGGGCCCGGGGGGGGGGGCGGCGCGGGGGCGGCGCGGAGGTGGCCGCGCGTCGCGATGCGCCGATGCGCGAAGCCGGGTGGCCTGGAGGGGGAGGAGGAGAAAGAGGAGGACCAGTGCATACCCAAGAGGAGGAGAAAGAGGAGGAAGCGGAGGAAGAACGAGGAGGAAGAGGAGGAGGAGGAGGAGGAGGACCAGTGCATACCCAAGACCCATTAACGGTGTTGAAACACACCCTCCTTCCAAGATCTTTTCGTCACAGGTCCCTGCGAGGATTCATGTCCAGCGGGGGAAGTGCCCCGTTGGGAGACAACCGTGTGAAAATCTTGAAGCGCGCCAAAACACACAATTTCAAGACCTAAACGCCCCGAGTCAACCTCACTGCTGCGCCTGGACGATCCTGAATTGTGCCAGACCGCTATTCGTGGGGTTCCAACACCGCGAATTAATGTAACTGTTGTGCCCTGACAACTCTGAATCGCTGCAACATGCCGTTTCTGGTACTCTGACCATGGGAATCCGTGAAAGGATGGCAGATGCTTTAAGCGAGAATGCGCGACGTTGAGGAGAGAGCCACATTTCGAAAACGAGCCGCCCTCAATCCGCGAACCTTGTGCAATTTTCCAATCGAATGTGCATGGCGCTAAGGCGTGAGTCACATGTTGAAAACGCGCTGCTCTGAATACATGCACCGTCTTCAGTTGTTCACAACGAGTGTGCGCGTCGCTCAGGCAAGAGCCACATGGCAAAAACCACCTGTCCTCAATCCGTCAAGCTCTTGCAAGTTGTCCAACGAATGTGCGCGGTGCGAAGGCGAGAACCACATGCTGAAAACCACTTGTTCACCATCCGTGAAATTCTTGCACATGTGTCAAACACATGTGCGCGGCGCTCAGGCGAGAGCCACATTCGAAAGACCACCCGCCCTCCGTCTGTGAAGCTGCTGCTCATGAGCGGCAAGCAGGTCTCGGGCGAGACGCCCGGTCCGCCCTTCCGACTGGCCTCGGGATGCGACAGGGAGGAGCTACTCATAGGTACAGACATAACAAAAAAACAAGACAACAAATAAATCATAAGGCACAGACATGGAGAAGGACGAGCAGGGGGAGGAGGATGAACAGAGTACACAGGAGACCTCGGGTCCTGCTCCACCGTGCAGACGGGACCTGCCATGGCCCAGGGGCCCTCACCCCACAGGCCTCCATGTGGTCGGGCGTTGGCCCTTCAGCAGACGAGTCGATCCGCCCTGTGCAGTGGCTCGGTGGCCATTGCACTCGCCGCTGCTGAGACCCTGCCAACGCTGCTGAGCGTAGCAGGCGCACACACTGCAGAACGCACAGCCTGGTCGGACCGCGAGCCGGTGCCGGTTCCTCCGTGCCAGCGCTGCTCTGAGAGCCGCGTCCGGGCCTTCAAGTGGCCCTTCCGACTTGGCCGAGGGGCGTCCAGCCTCCTCAGAGGCTCCTTCCGCTTCCCCGCCCCCCCCACGACGCTCCACGACCCCAGTACCCGTCCCACTAGCACTCGGGGCCTGCAGGGGCCCGTCCTCACCGTGTCAACTACCTCTGGTGACAAGGCGAGGACTTTCGCATTGAATTGCAAAGTGCTCTGGATTTGCTGAGAAGTGCGCAGTCTGCGTGCCACTCTGGGTATGCTAGCGAGTTTGATCCTAGCTATATGCACCCCTGTCTGCGTTCTTGTTACCATGGGCGTGCTTCATACCTATGGCCCGGCGTTCGACTGCCGTGGCATGTGCCTCCATTTTTTGATCTGGACCGCTTGTGGGCCCAGTCAGCCTAACTCCAACACAAGGTGCCAGGCCCATTTCCACAGGCAGGGGGAGGAGGACGAGGAGGAGGAGGAGGAGGAGGAGGAGGAAAAGGAGGAGGAGGAGGAGGAGGAGGGGGAAAGACGGGGAGGGGGGAGAGGGAGAGGAGGGGGGAGGGGGAGGAGGGGAGTGGGGAAGGGCAAGCTAGGTGCGCTCGCGTCATATCTGACGTCCTACCCCTCCCTCCTATCCCTCCATGGCATAGATCTCCTCTCTATTCTCACAGTCGGATGTCGAGCAGGGCAATGATCGCGAGAGGATGCGCGATGCATCGTAGAGCACGGCATGGCATGGCATGACGTAGAAGAGCACGGCAGAGCGTCGAATGTAATAGCATGGCTTGTCATTGCGTAGTGAAGTATTGCATCAAAAAGCATTTCAACACAAAGAGTGGCATCGCACAACGGCGCAGAACAAAACACCGCACAGCATGTCATGTCAGGGCGCCAGTTTAATTTCCTGGGCTCCGCGACAAGCTCCCCACAAGGCGGGGCTGATGGGAAGCACCCGCTGGCTCTGCTTGTAACATCGCCTTCTGAAGGCAGAAATGGGGCTCCCGCTCGATTCTTCCTCCAAACGCCACCGCCCGGAAGTGGGGGGGCCTTTGGGGGCCCAAAGACTCAACGGATCGACCCCAGATGTGGAATCACTTGTGGTGTTTTTTTATTGTGGGTGATTGTCTAGATTTGGAGCCTATTTGGAAGGACCGGAAACCCATGCGCTGCAGCGGGAGCACGTTTTGGAACAACCAGAGGCGCAGAAAAATGAGGCTAGCGCTGCAGCGGTTTGAAGGACAGAAGAATCGGATTGCCAACAACACGTATGAAAACCAGGAAATGAGTCCAGCGCTGCAGCGGGAACACGATACGGAACGAGCGGAAGCGCGGAAATGAGACCAGCGTTGTAGCCGGAGCACGATTCGGAACGAATGGATGGCCGAAAATGAGGCCAGCGTTTCAGCGGGAGCAACATTTTGAAAAAGAAAACCCAAGCGAAAACCCAATTCCCAGGAATGCTGTGTGTAAAAACAAAACGCGGAGGGGGGCCGAATATCTTCCGGACGTCATCAGGGGAGAGAGGGGAGTCGTATTCATATTGTGTAATTGTAGAGGGGATGGAGGAGGGGGGACCACCCTTCTCCCAGCACATCAGCCAGAAAATCGACAAGTCAGGTTTGCACCTTCACGCCGTGCTGGACCACGAGGGACGGGAAGAAGGAGGAAGACAGTTGTAAACCCAAACCGCATCAACGATGTTGCATCAAACGCTCCATCCAAGTCTCCCCTCCATGCGTCCACACAATATTTTTTTTTCGTTGCAGGGATTGCCCCGTTGGAAGTCAACCGTATGCGAATACGCAACTGTGCCAAACACTGTTCATGTGACTTCAACACCGCAAGTCAATCTTACTGCTGCGTCCTCGCTATCCTAAACTGTGCCAGAAGACCGTTGGTGTGACTTCAACACCGCGAATCGGCGTGACTGCTCGTCTTGACAATCTTTCACAGTACCGGAGCACGATTCCTGGGACTCCTGCGCTAAGGAGAGAGCCACCAGCCGCCTTCCATTCTTGAAACGATTGCAACTGTAAAGCTTTAGGGTTGTAGATGGTGAGGAACTCTCAGGCGAAACACCCGGCCCGACCTACCGACGCATCGGTGGGTGCAGCAGAGAGGTGTTAGGAATGTTTGACGCTTCGCGTATCCCCACCAGCAGGCACCCTGGCGTCAAGGTGACTTGCACGTCGACCAGCTCCGTCTCGAATGCTTGCGTGTTCCGGGCCTTTGGTCCTCAGACACCGCCACAGCCTGGCCGTGTTTGCAGCTGCCGCCTGAAGGGTGGGACGCGCCCCTTCGTGGATTGTTCAGGACTGGTACGGCCTTCTTGTTCAGCCATGTAAGGTTGTCTCTCTTGGCATGCACCACTGGTTCGCTGGACTGCTTGCGCAGCCCCGCTGTGCCACGCTCGGTGGCACGCCTACCTCTGGGCGCCTGGCGCGACAGGGTACAATTCATTCGTCTTCCTGGTGGTCTCGCCTCTGGGATGCCCGCACGCTGGCCGCCTGGCTCTCCTGGCAACTCCTGCAGCCTGCCTTCAGCCCCCGGCGCCCCTCAGCCTCCCTCGGCGGCAGCCTCGGCAGCCGTGAGTGCGTCCGCTGGGCGCCCGTAGCCTGGGTTGACCTTTGACGCCGCATGCGCCTTCGCTCGCGGCTGCGACGGAAAAAGTATCCCCGCCAGCCATCCAGAAACGATGCCCATGAGAGTTGACGGGGGAAGAGAGGAAGAGACACGCATAGTCAAACAGCGAGGGAGGCTTGGGAGGCTTCGTGGCCATCTCGAGCCGTCTTGGAACGGTCTCGGGGCCGCTTGGAGCATCTTGGTAGCCATCTTGAGCCAGCTTAGGCTATGTGAGCCATATTGGAAGCCATCTTGGGCTCTTTGAGGCCTGAGGCCGCTCGGGGACTCTTGGAAGCATCTCGGGTGCCTCTTGGAGGCCTCTTGGGGCGCTCTTTGGGCCCTCTTGGGGGCCTTTTAGGAGCTCCGGAGGGACTTTGGGGGCCATCTTGGAGGCGGTCGGTCAAAAGAGGGGGGGGGGCTCGATTTGCGTTCCCCCCTCTGGGACCACGATCCTCGTGAGGGGTGGCACAAAATTGCCTTCCCAATGGCCAAACAACGCCCTTCCGACACCTCGCGATCCCTCCAAAAAACTTCAGGGAGGGGAGGGACAGGGCTCCCCTCCCCGAAGGGATGAGAGGTTGTGAAAGAGATAGGAAAGAGACCCTCGTTAGACAACCTGTCGCCCAAAGGGCTGGTGGGATTCTTGCGGCTGCTGCTGCTGCTGGTGCTCTCTGGGAGTTTTGGGGGCCCTCTTGGAACCTTTCAGGTATCCTTTGAAGGCTCATTGGGACCATCTTGGAGGCCATCGATCAAAGGATGGGGGATGGGGGGTCCCCAGTTCCCCCCCCCCCCTCCGGAGCCCGCAAACCGCTTCTTGAGGCTCTCTTGGGGTGCTTTTCGGCGCTTTGGGGGCCGTCTCGGGGCCCTCTTGGGGCCCTCTTGGGGCTCTCTTGGAAACCTTGAAGGCCACCTTGGGGCCATCTTGGAGGTTATCGATCACCCCTTCTGGTGCCCTCAAAACCGTTTCGTGGGGCGCTCGTGGGGTCCTCTGGGGGCGCTTTTGGGCGTTTTTGGTGCCATCTTGGGGGCCTCTTGGCCCCTCTTGGGACCCTTCTTGGGCCATTTTGGGGCCATCTTGATGCCTCAGAAACGCATCGGAAGCGAAAAGGCAAGAAGGCAAAACTCGCTGATGTTCTTTAGGTTTTTGATTTTGGCTTTACTGGGAGGTCCTGGAGGGCACCTGGGACCGTCTTGTGGCCCTTGTGGGGCCTCTGGGGGGTATGACGGAAGCTGTCTCTTGAGTTGTCTTTGAGGCAATCTTGGAGCATCGGAGGCCCTCTTGGAACCATCGTGGGCCATCTTGGGCGCTCTAATCCCTCGCGGACCCCCCCGTCCAGGTCCAGGGGAGGGGGTAGAGGGAGGGGTAAACCCCTCCCCGAAGGGGGCGGGTGGAAGAGGGAAAAGGAATTCTAGACGCTTCGCGTATCCCCACCAGCCCGTCCAGAAACGACGCCCAGGCGAGTAGAGGGTCGTCCTGAGGGGCTTTTCGGCGTCTTGGGTGCCTCGGGGGGGCCTCTGTGGGCCGTTCGGAATCCTCTTTGGGGCCTCCTGGGGGCCTCTTGGGGCCTCTTGGGGCCATCTTGGGGCCTCTGGGAGCACCTTGGGTGCCTCTGGGGGGTCTCTTGGGGCCTCTTGGGGGTCTCTTGGGGGCCTCCTGGGGGCCTCTTGGGGGGCCTCTTGGGGCCATCTTGGGGCCATCCTGCGGCCTCTTGGGGCATCCTGGGGGCCTCTTGCGGCCATCGTGGAGGAAATCGATCAAAGAAGCGGGGTTCCTAAATTTCAGCCCCCCTCTCAGAAGGCCAAAATTGGGCCCAAATCATAGTAAAATCAATGATTTTGGCGTCCTCGCCGAGGCCGTTTTGGACGCTCCAACGCGCCGCGGAACCCCTTGTCCAGGTCAGCGGGGAGGGGGTAGGGGGAGGGGTAAACCCCTCCCCGAAGGGGAAGAAGGAGGGGTGGAAGAGGAAACTCCTTAAACCACCGACGCCCAGAGGGCTGGTGGGATCTCGTTAGGCCACCTGTCGCCCAGAGGGCTGGGATTAGATATAAGGAAAAATGATGGGGGGCGAGGGGGCGAGGAGGAGGGGGGGGTGCGAGGGGAAGGGAGGGGGCAGGAGGAGGAAGGGAGCCTCAGCGGCCTTACCATACGCGTGGCGAGGGACAGGTCCGTCACCAGGCCTGAGTCGAGGTGGCGCCAAAAACCGCAAGCTCTGCTCCCAGAAATCGCAAGTTCGGGGAAAAGATGGGGCGGTCAGTTTTTGTTGGCGTTTTCGGCATGCACGGGCCCTCAACGGGCCCCGGGACCGTCAAAAAACGAGTCAGGCTGAAACGCTTGTCCTAATGAGGGGGTTGGTCCAGACCTCTGGGGGTCCGCGCCACGAGAAAGTTGGAGCGCCGGATGTCTGGGCTTGCCACTGGACGCTCCCACGTCCTGCACGGCTGGCGAGGTCGGCGAAGCGGTGTCGAATCGATGCCGTTGCTCGCCCTGGCTCCGACCCTCGCCGGCATCGCAGATCTGTCGCGGCGGGGGCCCCCGGGGATCCCGACCTCTTCCCTGGGGCCGGCTTTTCATCCCCAGTCGCTTTGCGAGGGTCTCTGGGCCCCGAGACCGCATTCGGAGGCCGAAAGCGCACGATTGCCATTGGACAGACAGGGTGCGATGTGGCGCCACGCCATCCCCCAACTTGCGGATAGCTCCAGGCCTTCCAGATGGGGTCCGAGCAGACGGGGTCGGAGGATGGCGCCGTGTCGACGATGCATTGCCGATGCGGCTCGATGCGCAACCAGATTTTCTCCACGCGGACGTCGCCGATGCATCGCCGATGTCGCCGATGCATCGCCAGCGCATCGCCGATGCATCGCCGATGTATCGCCGATGCGGCGCGATCCTCCGACCCCATCTTCTTAGACCCCATCTAGGAGGCATCTAATAGCGTGCACCTAAGAGACCCTGGCAGGGGAATAGCCTGCACAGAAGGGACCCTCGCGGGGGGATCGCCTCCCATGGATAGCGCGCGCTTCGGAGATCGATGCTGCACGCTATCTTCCCAACGCCTGCCGCGAAGAAACTGGCCGTCGCGATTTGTTTGCGTCGCCTGGGTCTGAGGGCACCTCGAGGCCATCAGGGGCAACGCTAGGGGGGGATGGGCTCAGTGGGGGACGCATCGACCCCCAATCGCCCATCCATCGCCGATAGGGGCCCGATAGCCCCGCCGCGCCCAGGAGCGTGCGCACTCGCTATCGGCGGCCTGCTGGCGACTATAGATTGCCGATTCACGCTCGATGTTTCCCCCCCTTAGTTGGTCCCCCCCCCCTAGCGTTGCCCCTCGGATCAGTGCCTCGAATCCTGGTCAGCCGAGGAGCATAAGGCGAGCGCCCACGAGGTGGCCTTGATGTTGTTGCTCCTGGGCGCGGTGTACTGCCACAGGCTGCCTGGGCTTCTGTCCCAGGCTTGCGAGGGGGTGACACATGTAACATGATTCTGAAGGAGACCGTTTTTATCCCTTGGCGATAATTGGCGTGACTGGCGGGGGGGGGGAGGGGGCGGCTGGTCACGTCACGATTCGCGCCAGCGCAGTCTGGAAGTGCTGAAGAATTGTTGTTCCCAGACAGCGCCGGCGCGAATCGTGACGTGACAGGGGCATCGGGGGGAGGGTGGCGGGGCCAGTCACGGGCGTTATTGCAGATGATGAAAAATGGGCTCGGGTCTTCTCCTCGTTCTTCGATTGCCTGGGATGGTCTTGCTCCTCGTTGGATCCCAGTACCTGCCTAGGAGTCCCCGGCTGGTCACTGCGTTACTCAGGGGCAATGATAGGTGGGGATAGGCATCAGCGGGGACACAGCTTCGCCCGATCTTGTGGACGCACAGCTTCCCTTCGGTGCCGAACTCGACGTTCTCTGGATCTCTGGGGCCGCCAAACCCGATGCAGCGGGTCACCTGGGTCGCGCGCGACTTGCTCACGCTCAGAATGTGGATCTCGCCTTCGTCGTACAGCGAGGCCCCTGAAATAAGGTCCAGTTCGGGTTCGGAAGGGGCTCGGTGGTTCCTTGGGTCTGCTGGCGTTCCCTCGTCATTGCGCCACGAAGCCCCTATCGGCGTTCCTTGGGTTATGGCGCGAACGCAATCGATGCTGCGCGCCGCGGGCCGCGGGCACCCGTTGCGTTTTGTTTCCCCCGTTGCGTGCCGCGGGCACCCGTTCCTTAGGTCTCGGCAGAGGGGGGGGTCTATGTCAAAACGAGAGGCAACGATGAGGGAACGTTCCTTACATATGTATTATTTGATTGTTCCTTCTGGCAGGGGCCTGGCTGTATGGCGGCAAGCAGCCGTGGGATTCGTTGACCAGGTCTTGGTCGACGGCGTAGCGCACGTGAGATGGGGGCGGCATCTCGCTGGCGAGGGGCACGCCCACCTCTTCCATGCTGAAGCCGTCGCTACAAAAACTGCGCACCAGCGTGCGCGCGCGGGAAGGAATTATGCCATCGCCGTGCGTGTTCCGTGGGCGCACGGCCACAGAACGCCCATTCGTCACTTGGCGCCTCGACAGGCCCTCCTCCCGCAGCAGTGTCACCGCCCGGTCGCGCAAGTGGAGGACCGGGGGGCAAGGGCTCAACGCGTGCTCCTTGGCGATCGTACTGATCTCCTCCCGGACGCGTTCCACTCGCGCGGCGATGCCCGAGTTCGCCATTGCCCAACTGCGCGAATTGCCAGGCGGGGGCGGCTGCGCGAAACGCAAGACGAGGTGCTTGAAACAAGCTGCTCTGGAGCGGCGGCAGCACGAATGCAGCAACAGTGGCAGCGGCAGCAGTATTGCTTGCACGGCATGGCCGCCGCCCAATATTGCCCAGATCGGCGGGCCTGGGGCCCCAGGGTTTTCGATTGGGTTTAGGGTCAACGGCATTGAAGTCCTAGGGCGTCGGGGCCTCGGGTTCTCAGAGCGTCAGGGTGTCGGGCCATTTTGGTATTGGGGTCGGGCGTCGTGGTCAGCGCACGAGCTGCACTTGTGCTACCTATATATGCTTGTATACGTGCGCCCGTAATTGGCGTAAGTGGCCTAATTGCAGTTACGCCACTTTTAAAACTAGCCCGTCAGTGGCGTAACTACTTACGCTACTTGTAACTAGTTCGCCCTACTTATACGTAGCCCCTAACTAGCGTAACTACTTCTGCCAACTTATGAGCTACTGACGCTACTTCTGAGATTAGTATGAACTACTTACGCTACTCCTGAGCTACTTGTGAGCTACTTACGCTAGTTCGTAACTGGGCCAACTGAGCTATCTACTTATAAGTAGCCCCGCCGCGCGCAGCACGGGGCCCAGGGCCGCGCCTTGATCCCTCCCCGTGGATTTCTTCTGGAGTTAACTCACAGGTCCCAGGGCGGCGCCCCGATCCACCCCTCCCCTGTAGATTTACTCCGGAGTGAGTTCACGGCCCAGGGCGGCGCCCTGATCCTGATCCACCCCTCCCCCGTGAATTAACTCCGGAGTCAACTCACTGGGCCCAGGGGCGGCGCCTTGATCCCCCCCATTCCCCGTGGATTGACGCCGGAGTTACTTCACGGCGCCCAGGGCGGCGCCTTGATCCACCCCTCCCCCGTGGATTAACTCCGCAGATATGTTTCCCAATGCGGATTCCGCTACCGATTGTCCCGTGGATGAACTCCAGAGCTAATTCTTCCCAGTGTAGATCGCCGCGCCAGGTCTCCCGCGGATTGACTCCAGAGTTCATTCCCCACATGTTTCGTGGGGTTCTGGTATTCTTCCCTGCCGCGTCTCACCCACGTTTCGCCTTCTCCTTCTCCTCCTCCTCCTCCTCCTCCTCCTCCTCCTCCTCCTCCTCCTCCTCCTCCTCCTCCCTCTCCTCGCACACAGAGACACACATACACACAGAAACAGTAAACGCACACACACACACACACACTGACAACGCCAGTGCGCGCCTTGCGCGTTCATCACATCACACAACCGAGACGCATGCACAACATACAGGGCACCCACATGAGACACCAGACGCACGCAACACAAACACTAGCGCACCCCTGACGTGTTGGCTGCATCATACACAGGGGTGCGCAGGGGGTGGTCTCTGAGCGCGGCCGCTGTCCACGACACTGTCGCAACGCCTAGCAGGCGTGGCACTTTTTGGACACCACAGGGGGAGCGCAGGGGGTGGTCTCTGAGCGCGACCGCTATCCACGACACTGTCGCAAAGTTTCGCAGGCGTGGCACTTTCTGGACACCATAGGGGTGCGCAGGGGGTGGTCTCTGAGCGCGGCCGCTACCCACGACATTGTCGCAAAACCTTACAGGCGTGGCACTTTCTGGACACCATGGTTGATGCGCACGGGGTGGTCTCTGAGCGCAGCCGCTATCCACGACACTGTCGCAAAGCCTAGCAGGCGTGGCAGTTTCACGACACCATCGGCGGTGCGCAGGGGGTGGTCTCTGAGCGCGGCCGCTATCCACGACACTGTCGCAAGACCTAGCGGGCGTGGCACCTTGTCGACACCATACGGGGTGCGCGGGGGGGGGGGCACTGAGCGCGGCCGCTATCCACGACACTGTCGCAAAGCCTAGCAGGCGTGGCACCTTCTCGACACCATCGGGGGTGCGTAGGGGGTGGTATCTGAGCGCGGCTGCTACCCACGACATTGTCGCAAGCCTAGCTGGCGCGGCACTGTTTCGACACTATAGGGCGAACGCAGGGGGGGGTCTTTGAGTGCAGTGATTCTCCACGGCACTGTGCGTGAGAGTTTGTGTCTTAGCCGGATCCGCAAACATCGCGGTTCAAGCCGGCGCGGCACAATTGCGTTTTTACGCAAGTTGGCCTGTACTTTCACTTGCGGGCAGCAGCCGCCCGACCTGCGCGCGGCAGCAATGCCGCCCAAAATTGCCATTGGTCAGCTGCTGCCTCCGCGCGTGAAGCTGAAGAACGCACTGATTGAAATGGGCGACGATGTAAGCCTGGAAGGCTTGCGTGGCTTCTAGGGGGCTCTGATAAGAAACGCATTCGATGCCTATCACTGTCAACTGAAGAATTGGTGGCCCGAGACGCCTTACATGAGGTATGACGAGTTGCCGCATCCAGGTACGAACGACGATAGCAGGAGGAGGCAGTGCCTGGTGACATACTTGCTGAACCCTGCGTCGGGGGGGGGTCCCTTCGATGCTCCGTCTGATCTGCCCGGAAAGATGGGGGAAGACGACGGCTCGCAGCTGGCGAAAGTTCGGCGAGTTGTGGGCGCCAACAGCGAGGGCGCTGCCACGCCGATGCACGCTACTCCCGCGAAGGCCCCCCCCCAACGCCCGCCATCACCCCGCAGCGGTCTCCGGCAGTTCTGTTGGCTTTTCTGTTCGGTCCAGTGGCACGCCTCGCATGTGTCTGTCCCAGGAGTCGGCGAACACCGACTGCCGTTGGTCGCAAGGGCCATGGTCGCGGGAACTGCGAGAATCAATTCAGCTCGAGGACTTGTCGGCAAAAGCGGATACGAAAGCAGTCAAGTGGTACACTGACTTTGCGGCCAAGTGAGCTGATGATCCGGAGTACTGGCCTTCGAGACGGGGCGAAGATGTAGCCTTGTGGACGAAGATGAGGACGATGAGGACGAGGACGAGGACGACGACGACGTCTTGGAACGGCCGCTCAACGCCTGATTTCTTGTCTGGTTGATCTGCTTGGGCTGGTTTGTTGCGCTGGCTGGCTCGTCTGGCTCGCGGTGGTGGCGGCGGTAGTGGTAGCGTAGGGGACAGCAGTAGAGAAAATATGTAGGGTTCCTCGGTCGCGTAATTGTTTAATTTCTTCTCGGATTCAATTGCTTCATCCTCGGAGATTTTACCGCGTTTCAGGCCCGCTGGGCCGGCGAATTTCGCGCTCCCCCTCGGTGGACCCCTTGGATTTGCTATCGCAGCTCCCCCTCATCCTCCCTCGACAGCCCTCGCGCCGTGCGCAGGGCGTGGGCGGGGCTTCGCCTTCGCGGGGGGAGAAGGAGGAGCAGGGAGAGGAGGAAGAGGGCAAGGAGGGCCATTGTAAACCCAAGATTCATCAACGATGCTAAAAGAATCGTTCTCTTCCTCCAGGTTCCCTCTTCACAGGCCCCTGCAGGGATTCATTTTCACAGGGAAGTGCCCCGTTGGGAGCCAACTGCTTGAAGATTCTGAAGCGTGCCGAATCATAGTTTTTGGAACTCCAACGCCACGAATCAACTGGACCGATGCGTCCTGGCGATCCTGAATCGCGCCAAAACGCCACTCCTGGTACTTCAACACCGTGCATCAACGTAAGTGCTGCGCACTGGCAATCCTGAGTCGCTCCAAAATAGTTTTTATGGCACGTTAATCTTGGGACTCCGTGAAACGTTTGTGCAAAGATTTAAGACGAGTGTGCGCATCGATCAAGCGAGAGTCATCGTTTGAAAACGACCCGCCTTCAATCCAAGAAACTCTTGCGAATGTTTGAGACGAGTGTGCGCCGCGCTACGGCGAGAACCACATTTTGAAAACGGTTCGCTTTCACACCGTGAAACCCATTGCGAATACTTGAGACGACTGTGCGCGGCGTCGCGGCGAGAGCCACATTTTGAAAAAGGCCCGCCCTCGTATGGTGCGCGGCGTTACGGCGAGAGCCACATTTTGGAAACCGCCTGCCCCCTATCTGCGAAACGATTGCGAGCTTCGAAGCTTCAGGATCATAAGTGGCGAGGTAGTAGTATCAGGCGAAACGCCCGGCCAGCCATTCCAATTGACTTCGTTGTGCGACAAGGGGGGGTTGGTCATAAGGAGCAGGAACGGATGTACAACGCCCATACAGGGAGAACTGTTATTCCCCGCCCGAGGCTGCGACCCACCTCGGGCAGATCCCGCCGACAGGGCAACAGGTGGAGGAAAAGGAGGAAGAGGAGGAGGAGGAGGCTCTCCAAGGGCCCTCTTGGACCGTCTTACAGGCCGGCTTCGAGGAGCAGGCCGCCGCCGCCGTCGTAGCGGAGCGGGGCTTCGGCGGCCTGGCGGGCGCCCACGGCGTTTGGGCCGCCGCGGCCCTCGTCGTGCCAGGCCTGTCGGTGTGGCTCGCGGACGGCATAGCGCGCGCGGCGCTGGCGGCGGCGTCCCCGCGGCGGTGGTCGCCGCGGCCCTTTGTGGAGCTCGGGGGCGGCCAAAGTCTAGGCCTCCCGAATGCCGCCGACCATTCTGTTCAGGGGCAACGATGGGGGGGCGATAGGGATAGGGGGATGCATCGACCCCCAATCGCACATTGATCGCCCGTAGGGGCTCGATAGCCCCAACCTGCCCGAGAACGTGCGGATTCACTATCGGGGGCCTATCGCTGATCGATCGACGAAATATCGCCGATTCCAGGTCGATGTTTTCCTTCTATGCCTATCCCCCCCTACCGTTGCCCCTCATTCATTCGTTCGCATCACAAGGGCTCTGTATTGGAGAGCGGCGGTCACGGCCCACGCGGGGTCGCACAGCCCCGCTGGGTCAAGAGGCCGACATGGGGCCACACCAGCTCCGCTGGGCTCCCGAGGGCTCCCGCCTGGGGTCACACAACATGCCCGCCAACACGGGCGTGTGACCGCCGCAATTCGGCACCGCTACACATTCGATGCGCTCCAATGGGGTCGGAGTAGAGGAGGGCGACGAGATCTATGCATATCCACTGCTCCTGGCCAGGCCCATCCTGGGCCCAGGAGCGGTGTATATGCCTCCCTGGCCAAGCCAGGAGGGCGTATACACCGCTCCTGGGCCCAGGATTGGCCTGGCCGGGAGCAGTGGATATGTATAGATATCGTCGCCCTATAGATGGGACCAGAGGATCGCGCCACATCGCCGATGTATCGGCGATGCGGTTCGATATGGGGCCCGGTCTTCTCCACGCCAGTGTCGCCGATGCATCGCCGAGGTGGCCCATTGGCCAGCGGGAAGCTGGGCGAGGTTCGAGGTTCTGGGCTCGAGAAGGTTTTTTTCGATCTTCGGCTTCAGGTGTCGTTTTCGGGTCGGGCCCCGCGAGACCGTCGAAAGCGGATCTGGGGTGAACAATTGCACTTTGCACGAGATGGATTCCGGGAGGGGTCCGTGGACCAATCTTGAACGGATTTGCCCTTATCTCCACCCTTCTTGACCGATTTTCTCGGGGCCCATCCAGTTCAGACTTAAATCGGGCATGTCCCTCTACAGGAGAGAGATCCGTAAGGACTTCGCCCCATGCCGCCGGCCCCCTGTCGCGGCGAATGGGAGATGCAAAAGCTAAATCATGAGGTCTGGGCGCCGCCGTGAAGCAGTGTCGGGACCTGTTTGTTTTTCAACCTTGACCCTGCGGATCTGCGTCACGGGTGCCACCGGAGTTCAGAAATGTAGCAAATCCCTTGTGTTTTTGGACCCTGACCCTACGGATCTGCGTGAGGGGTGCCGCCGAATTTCAAACATGTTGCAAATCCCCTGTGTTTTTGGACCCTGACCCTGCCGATCTGCGTGAGGGGTGCCGCCGAATTTCAGACATGTGGCAAACCCCTTATGTTTTTGGACCCTGACCCTGCCGATCTGCGTCAGGGGTGCCACCGAATTTCAGAAATGTCGCAAATCTCTTGTGTTTTTGGACCCTGACCCCGCCGAGCTGCGTAAGGGGCTCCACCGAATTGCAGAAATGTAGCAAATCCTATATGTCTTTTGACCCTGACCTCGCCGATCTGCGTGAGGGGTGCCACCGAATTGCAGAAATGTTGCAAATCCTTTGTGTTTTTGCACCCTGACCACGCCGATCTGCGTGAGGAGTGCCACCGAATTTCAGAAATGTTGCAAATTCCTTGTGTTTTTGGACCCTGACCTCGCCGAGCTGCGTGAGGGGTGCCAGCAAATTTTAGAAATGTGGCAAATCCTTTATGTTTTTGGATCCTGACCCCGCCGATCTGCGTGAGGGGTGCCGCCGAATTTCAGAAATGTCGCAAATCCTTTATGTTTTTGAAAGAGCGTGATCCACCGCCGCTTTACTGTGGGAAATTGCCAACCTTTTCCTCCTGAACCCGGGCGTCGCCCCCCCCCCCCCTCCGAAAATCCCCCCCCCCCCTGCTGAACCCCCCCCCCCCTCCCCGGAAAAACCCCCCCCTCCCCCCCCTCCTCCCCCCCCCCCCCCCCCCCCTCCCCTTCGAAAAATGGGGGGGTCACTACGGGTTCGACCCCCCCCCTCCCCCCTCCGGATCCGGAAACCGGAGGGGGTCACTACCGGTTGTTCGAACCCCCCCCCCCTCGAAAACCGGAGGGGGATCACTACCGGCTCGAACCCCTCCCCACCCCCCCACTCACCGCCAGCAAACGACTCCCGGTCCCTACCACCGTCCGCATCACATCCCCCACTGTTGTTCCCAGCACCACTGTCCTCACCACCACTGTCCCCACTGTGTCCCCACCAGTGCCCCCACCACTGTCGCACTGTCCCCACTGTCCCCACCACTGTTCCCACCACGGTTCCACTCTCCCCACGGTCTCCACGGCCCCAACCACTGCCCGACTATCCCCACTGTCCCCACTGTCCCACTGACTCCGCCGCTGTCCCACTGAGCTGTCCCACTGTTCCCACTACTGTCCCCACTGTCCCCACCAATGTTCCCACTGTACCTCTGTCCCACTGAGCTGTCCCACTGTTCCCACTACTGTCCCCACTGTCCCCACCAATGTTCCCACTGTACCTCTGTCCCATTGTCCCACCGCCGTCCTCGCCACCGCCTTCACCACTGTCCCCACCACCATTGTACCCTCCACTGTCCCACTGTTTCCACCTCATTCCCACTGTGCCCACACCACTGTCCCCACCACCACCGTCCCCACCACTGTCCACTGTCCCCCCTGTTCCCACCATTGTCCCCACCATTGTCCCCACCACTACCGGCCCTCTACTGTCCCACTGTCCCACTGCCCCCACCACTGTCCCGCTGTCCCCTCACCACTGTCCCCACCAACACCGTCCCCACCACTGTCCGCACCCCCACTCGGTTTTCGAGAAGGGGGGGGGGGGGTTCGAACCGGTAGTGACCCCCCCCCCTTTTCATGATGAACCGGGGGGGGGGGGAGGGGTTCGAACCGGTAGTGACCCCCCCCGATTTTCCGGAGGGGGGGGGAGAGGGGTTCGAACCGGTAGTGACCCCCCCCGGTTTTGCGCCAGCAGCGGTAGAACACGCTCTTTCATGTTTTTGGACCCTGGCCCCGCCGATCTGCGTGAGGGGTGCAAATTTTCACCTGCCCCAGCAATTCAGAGCATACGCTCAGGGCGTGGTAAAAATGCCCGTGTTGGGCCTCCCCCCTCGCGCGGTCCATCAGCAAGGAACAGTAAGCAGCAAGAAGCAGAATTGTAACAAGGAGCAGTAAGCAGCAAGAGGCAGAATTGTAACAGTGGAAACTGGAAGCTGCAACTGGTACAGGAAACTGCGAAGCTTCGGCCTACAGAATGGTGGCCCCACACAGGGGCCGGCGGATTCAAATAGTCGAAAAATAGTCAGGGGACGTTTCTTTGAATTATGTTTGATTATTTGTTGTGTATTCTTCAGTTTTCTTGCAAAATCCTCGTGTTCAGACCGCCTCAAACACTGCGACACCATGAGGTAGGGTGTTTTTTTGCGAGCCTGGCTCGAGGGCCACTCAGAGGTGTCAGAGCACCAGGGGCGCCCTCGAGGGTGCGAAGTTATTCGCGCTTCGCGGTTCGGCTCCGATTCCTTTTCATCCTCCTCTTCTTCCCTGGGAGGCGGCGCGAAAGCGCAAAGTTATTCGCGCTTCGCGCAGCGCGAAGCGCGAAGTTGGGAGCCCTTGCTCGAGCGAAGAGAACTATGCACATGCACCGGTCCTGGCCAGGCCCATCCTTGGCCCCAGGATCGGTGCATATGCCTTCCTGGCCAAGACAGGAGGGCGTATGCACCGATCTTGGGCTCAGGATGGACCTGGCCAAAATCTGTGTATGTGCATGGTTCTTTTTCCTCTGCTTGCGGAGCACCCGTGCACGCACGCTGGAGCCTCGAGCCTTAGGGGCTGCGGGACAGAGAGCGGCACCATCGGTCCTGTGAGGTCGTCTCGCCTCGGGCTGCCCTTTCCAGAAGCGGCGTCCGTGGAGGGCTCTTCAGGAGGGGAGGAAACACACAGACACAGAGAATCGTCGATTCCAAGGAGAATATGGGACAATATAGGAAGTGTGGGGGGGGGGGGAAGACAGAAACCCAGAAAATATTGGAAAATATGGGGGATCCCGTTATCTTTGTCTATTTATTTCTGTGTCCTTGGGCCCCTTTAGCCCTGCAGGGGTGCCCGGATCGTTCCCGATGGTCCCCATAGGCCCGAGGCATGGTCCGAAGATCACCAGGCGTCGAAGAGGGGAGCGAGGATTGAGGTGGGGGCGATGTCATGGTCAGGGCCACCAGATCTCCCCAGATGTCATCGCCCACATGTCTTGTTTGTTTTATTTGTTTGTTATCCTTATGTGTATGATTATTCTTCTTCACCTGCTGTTTCTTTTTCTTTTTCTTTTTCTTCCTCTTCATCTGTTGCTTCGTCTTTCAATGCGTCCCCTGCCTGCCGCTGGGCCGCGCACGTGCGTCGGGCCATGATGTGCGAGACCATTGGGCGCCCCCCGTCGTTGAAGGTGGCAGCCCCCGAGGAGCTGGCCTACTGCTACCTGCCCCTGACGTGGCTGGCGTCGCTGGCTTTCTACCTGGACCTCGGGATGACCGAGGCTGGCCGCGTCCTCGTCGTGGCAGAGAAGACGCTGAACTATTTCATCGCAGGGTTTCTCTTGAGTTTTGGCGTCAACAACGAATCGGCGCTGAGCGCACCAGTTCCCGTCGTGGTGGCGTCTGCTGACGTCGTCGCTTTTCTCCAGGGTATGTTGTTGTTGGCTGGGGCTGGCTTTAGCTCTTTATTGTTGCGCAAGCTCGGTGGACAGACCCCACTCGTGACCGTCCACCAGTTCTTGCTTCTGACCATTACTGCAGAGTTATTCATATTGGTGGTTGGTGGCGTGAGCATTCCTTTCAGCAGCGCCTAGGCACGTATGCTTCGCTGCGGGCATCGTTCCACGATCGTGTTGAGCACAATCGTTGCTCGAGCGTCTCATCTCGGTAAGTTCGCGTGACGGAACATGAAAGGCTGCGCACATCCGACGCGGATGTGCGGGACCCGATGCGACCGCACTCCGCCCACGCCGTGTTCGCCGTTGGACACCCAAAAGAAGAGAGGATGGTTTGTGCTGGGGTAGTTCTAACCGCCGCCCGTAATGACGATGAGGTGTTTTCCCAGGATGTCGTTGCAGCTCTGCCTTTTCGGCCCATCCTTCACCAGGGTCACCTGCGGGGACGCGAAGGTACTTGCGTTTCGCGCGTCGCAGTCTGGGCAGGAGAGGCGCCATTCTCCAGGAAGAGCGACGCGAGGGCGCGAGGGCGCAAAGATAGTCGCCTGCCACGCATCGCAGGGCGCGATGCTCGAGAAGTTTGGCGATCTAGTTCACTATGAGAGCGCGACGTGCGCCACTGAGAGCGTGTAGCAACTTGGACGCCCAAATGGTCTGATCCCCTCACCCTGCATCCTTGTGATGCGCGGTGGCCGTGTCCCTTGTCAGACGGGCCAGCTGCACCGAAGACACCGCCCAGAGTCCACTCTGCCAGGCCTCTACCCATAGTGGCGAACCCGCAAGGGTGACTTCTGAAACGGCGTGTTGTTACTGTGGAGCCCCCCCCGCCTGTGCCGCCGATCTCCGTGCGAACTCGTCGTCCTGCTTGTATATAATAGCTTGTGAGTGTGACCTCGAGGAGGCAGGCGGGAGGAGGAGGAGTGTGGAGGAGGAGGCAGGCGGGAGGAGGAGGAGTGTGGAGGAGGAGTGTGGAGTGTGGAGGAGGAGTGTGGAGGATGAGTGTGGAGGAGGAGGAGGAGGAGTGTGGAGTGTGGAGGAGGCAGGCGGGAGGAGGAGGAGGAGTGTGGAGGAGGAGGCAGCATGATGAGTTGAATGCAGCGATGATTGCGTCGTGGCCGTCTGTCGAGCTTGATGTCGGCCAGTCCCCTGACGGGTCGGTCCGTTGGTGGGTCGTTGGGTCGTTGGGCTTGCGAGCCCATGCTCCCGCCCTGGCCAGCCCCGGCCGGGGCCCAGCAGCCCTTCCGAAAAGGGCCCGCTCGGCGCCGAATGGAATGCCTTTCGGCGAATCTCCACGCAAGCGCCGGATGGGTCTAATCGGCCCGAGGAGCTCTCCATCGATGCGATCTTCGACGAACTCGTGCACAGCGGGCCCTCAGCCCTGGCGGCGGAGGCGGGCGATCACTCCGACCAGATTCGAAGGGCCGGCGGGGGCTGCATCGGGCCAGGCTCCGGCTACGCCGAGGTCGCGCAGCCGCGCTGGCCCGACGGCGACGGCCACGGGCGCGGCAAGCTCCTGCTCGCAGGGCTGGCCTTCACGACATACGACTGCCGGGACACAGTTCGGCCGTCGCCCGGTTTACGCGAGTCGGGGGCCACATGCGCACCCTACCCTTGCCCCCCACGATTTCTGAGGGGGAGGGTGGGGTTCATTTCAGTCGGGAGCTCCCGAACGACGTGACCCCCCCCCTCCCCCCCAGAAATCGTGGGGGGCCAGGGGTAGGGTTCGCGCATGTGGCCCCGTGGTGAGGCGCTGCAGCCCGCCGACGACGGGCTGGAGGAGGGGCGCACTGAGCCGCGTGGCTGCTGCGCCACGTGGCCGCGGGGCCTCCTGGCGCAGGGCCTGCCCGGGGGCGAAGCAGCAGCAGGCCAGGAGGGGGCTCCCGGCCCCGAGGCAGCACGCCCCCTCGCCTCCGGGCTGCGCGAGGAGCTGTGGGCAGGGGCCTGCGAGGCCACGAGGGCCCTCGGGGAGGCTCCCGGGAGGATCGGTCGCGCCGAGCGCGAGGAACAACTCGGAGGTCCGCGCGGATGTCTCGGATCGGCGCTGGACCCCCCTCCCTGGCGCGCGGAGCGCGCCAGGGGCGGCGCCGGAGGCGCCTCTGGGGGGCCCCGGCGCCGATCCGAGAAATCCGCGCGGACCTCCGAGCTTTTATGTTTATGCCACTTTTTGCTCCCCTAGGTACATCCACGACGTGTTGCACCCGCGCCACAACGAGGATCACCGCAGCCCGTGCGCCTCTCCGCTGGAGCGGCTCGGCGACGTGGTCCTCAACTTCGTCCGCGTCGATTTGCTGGGCAGCGTCAACTTCGAGAGCGTCTCCAGTGCTGGCCTCTGCTCCACCGGAGGCACATGAGGCCGTTCCGCGTGGGCCCGGAGATCGGCAAACAGGCGCTGGTGGCCGACCTCGCGCAGCACGCCAGCAGCTGGGGCGGCAGCCCCCCGCGCGACTACGCGGCGTTCGGTTGGGAGGCCCTGCTCGACCAAGAGAAGGAATGGGCGCTTGAAGCGTTGTCCCCCCAGCCGAGGACCTGCCTGTGCTGCAACTACCTGCGGAACAAGCAGCAGGACAGCGGCCGGGACGCCGGCGACGTCACGCCCATCGACCCCCCCACGGCCTACAGCGAGGACACCGCGCCGACCATCGCGGGCGGGGGCCTCCAGGCCTGGAACCACTGCCACTGCCCCAAGCACGACATCCCTGACGCGGTGACCGCGCCCGGAGAGCGGCTCGTCGCGCTGGATGGAGATCATGGCAGGATCGGGCCGCTGGATTCAGAGCTGGGGGCCCCGCGGTCTCACAGCCCACGAGCCCGCTGAGCACTACCAGGACCCGCTGGAACGCACTAGTCCCAGGGAGGACCACAATGCGAGGGACAAGGGCGCGCAGCGCCGCATCCGTCGGGACGTCGACGAGGGCGAGGTGAACGCCATCGGGCTCGAGCCGGTCTGCGCCAGCTTTTGCTCCCTGGATGCGTTGCAGCGGCGGCGCCCGCGCGGCGGCGCACCCCCGATGGCGTCGCGCCGTTCTTTCTTTCGGAGGAGGCGGGCAATGTCATTGCCGAGTTTTCCGCGAAGGTCTTCGAGCACGCCCTCGAACGCGGCGAGTTCGCGCGGGCGGAGAAACAGGCCCCCGACGGCATCAACCCCGCTATCTGCGATGCCAAGTGGCGGCGCCCTCTCGCGCTCCTCTGACGCAGGGAAGTGACGATCATCCCCTTTTATTTCTGCGAGCACGGACATGGCCCTGACGGGGGTGACGAAGCCCGCGACCGCTAGCGCACCTGCATCGCGGCTCGGGCCTCGAAGCATTTTGCTCGCTGGATCGCCGAGCGCTGCAGCGGCCGACGCGAGCGCGTCTCCCTCGAGGGCCCGCTGCGGGGCACCCGCTGTTGCCACTGCCGGGCGTCGCAAGTCTGCCTCTGGACGTTTGTCGAGAACCTCGCGCAGGGCATCCCCGCTGGCGCGGCGCCAGCGGGCGAGCGCGCGGCAGGAGGCTACAAAGGAGCTCCAGGACCCCAGGGACAGCTCGAGGCGGCTTTCATTGACCCCGAGACCGGCGGCACGGATACCCACCTGGCGGGCGCGGAGCAGGAGGGGGAGGTCTCGGTGTTGTGCATGAATGTTAGAACGCAAGACCCGACCCCCATGTGCACCCACTGGGTCAACAGCGCGCGAGGCCGGGCTACGTCGCCACAGATCTTGCCGGACCCTGCCCCCAGGTGCACCCGCGCGGTAAACGGCGCGAGGGGCCGGTCGACCTCGCCATGTTTTGCCGGCGCTGGAGATGCCGCTTGTCTTCTGCGGTGCTCGCGGGCCCCCGAGCGCCGCGGGCCCTCGCGCCGCCGTCGGCGCGACGGGCGGACAGCGCGCCGTTGCCGGAGGGGCGGCGTTGGCGGGGCCGCAGTTGACTGGAGGGGCGGCGCGTTGGTCTGGACGGGGCGGGGGGGAGCTCTGGGAGCACCCCGCAGCCGCGTCCCCAAACCAGGGGCAGCCGCGCGTCCGCCCCATCGTGGAGCGGCAGGCCTCTGCCCGCAGCTTGCGCCGCAGGCTGGCGGCGAGCCCCCCCCTTGCTTCCTTTTTCCGCCGACCACGCCCAGACGCGAGGTGGCGCGGCGCACGAGGAGAGGCACGAGGAAAGGCAGGCTGGCGACTCCAGCGGTCACCGCGACCTCGTCATGCGCATGGCCCTCCACTACATCGCCCACGTCAGGGCGGGGCCCTCGGGGGCCGAGGGAGCTTGGAGAGGCGCAGCCACGAGGTGAGGCCGTCGTTGAGGCGGCAGGCGGGGCGGGGGCCTGCGCCCGGGCCATCTTCGGCGCGCGGAAGGCGTTGGGTCTGGACAACTTGGCTGGGATCCTCGACTCCGAGCTGGACCGCCACCTCCACCCAGACATGCCCCTCCACCTGCGGGGCCAGGCCCGGCAGGGCGTAGCGGCCAGGGGCGTCGGCATCAGAGTCCGCGAGGAGTGCGGGCCCCGCCAGAGCGCTGCCGACGTGCTCGACCAGTGCTACGAGGGCCCCTGGAAGGACGCCAACGCAGGCCGCGCCCTCGTCATCCCCAAGAGGCGCAGGAATCTCCTAGGCGAGGCCAGGTCATCGCCACCGGGGGCGGCGCCCAAGCAGAGCCCCGACCGCGCGATCGCGCCTGAGAAAGAGGCCGATCCACGACCAGCGCCGGATCAACGAGACTACGAACAAGACGTGGCACCCACCGGCAGCGCAGTCTCTTCACCGGCAGCTCGCGAGGCGAATCGTCTGGCGGTCAGTAATGCGCCCCGAGATCCCCATCCCTCTCTCGATGTGAAATGGCGCCTTCTAGCTGCTCTGGGTCGACCCAGCGGACGTCGGCACGTTATCCACATGCCCGCCTGGCCATCAGATGCCTGCGCGTCGACGCCCGCAGGAGCCGACCCAACGGGCGCACGGGCCAAGGAGGAAGAGGACGACTACGCCGTGCACGTACAGCGCCGCGCGGAGGCGGGCCTGGAGGGGGGCCTGACGCTGATCTCCCTCGCGGCGAGGTAGGGCGAGGGCCCCGCCCTGACCTTCGGCTGGGCCGGGGGCCCGGGGGGGCGGGCCCCCTGGGCGACAGCGCGGCCGCAGTGCGAAGCCGACACGCACCGGCTGACGCCTCCGCCGAGGGCCCCTCCCGCTTCCAGTCTTACATCCTGATGGCCGACCTGGTGCTCGTGGAGCCCGCCCCGGGCGCGCGCCCGTGGATCTCGCGCACCGGACGGAGGAGTTGCAGGTAGCCATCCCCGAGCCCCGGCCCCTCAAGGGGGCCTCCTCCCCAGCGACGCCTCGCCTGCTGCGACAGTGGCTACGAGGGCGCGCGCCTGCGCGACGCGCAGGTCCTGC